TTGTTGTTTGTGTTGTTTAGTGAAACGGTGGTCGTTATTATAATTTTCATACAGGTACATTGTTTAACTATTGATAACATTGTCAGATATGTTATGCTCACAGATCGTTCGACAATGAATGATAGCTTAATTTGCCAAACGAATTAAAATTAAGTCTTGACAATGATACATGACTTCCTTACCCCGATGTAAATTTTATAAAATTTCACTATTCCCCATATTGTACCCTAGTTTTAAAGATGTATTATTCTTAACCGTGGGAAGAGCATGTCTTATATAATAATAACCACCGCTGTTCACAATCATCATTAGCTCACCTCCCATTTTACACTCTTGTTAGCACTCCCTCCCCTGGCTTAAAAGTTTACATAACCTTTGTTTTTGATTTCTTCTGGGTTTAACAGTCGTCCCAGGAAAAATTGAAGACAATGCTTATACAAACTTTTTGGGAGACAGACAAGGAGTTTATGGGATATGTGCAATTTGTGAATCGTTATACTTCATTTGATCACCTGAATTACAATGTGACTTTAATATGGATTACGTGGCCTGTGGCATTTTAACATTCCCGAGCATTTGACAAAGACCAAAGTTATTTTTTGGCTAGTTATTCAAGTTGTGTGGTATATACTATTTCAATAATTCACCTTAGTGCATGTCGGTGAATGTGGTGGATAATTGTTAACTAAATGCAGTGGAGATGCCAATCGTTTTAGATGAATTTTTACTAATTACTAAGAAGTATCGTCAAACATTATGTGCTTTAGCACGCGGTGCAACTTGGCATGTAAGACCGCGGACTTAATGGTCACGAAAATCAATTTTAGTCGGTATAAAGTTAATAAGTTAGTGAAAAAATGTTTAAAAAAAATGAAAATTAGACTGCGGGCAGTCTCTGTTTTCTTCTGATTTAGTGCCGCGCGTGGTCATTTGCGTGTCTTGCGCGTTTTGCTCGATGGACCAAGAAAAAAGAGAGACTGCTCGTAGTCTAATTGAAATAAACTCCGAAGGCTTATTTTAGCTATTTTCAGTATATTTAACTAAAAATATAATAAAGTATGAGGTGAAACTTAAATTCGCCTGACAACAAATATTAATAAATATATTAAATTCTAAATGTCGCTACCAACCAGGTATTTTAAGTGATGTAAACTTCCCTTTTTTACTGGTGCCAAGCATTTCATGCTGGAGTACACGGGACAATCCACTAGAGTGATACGTCATTCTGGACTGCGCACGCAATCATCACGAGCAGCATTTTTAGCTTAACCCTTTAAGCCCCAAGAGTGATCAGCATCAAATTTCTCCTTGTAATATCAGTGCTTTGCAAAACAGAATTGTCATGAGAATTACAGACGTGATCACACAAGATGAATTTGCTTGATATTTTATCAACTTCTCCTCACTTCTTCCGTAGGAAATAAATAGGGGCAACAAATGAGAATTCAAATTTTGATCTTAGGGTTTGAAGTGTTAAAGCTAACAGGTTAGTGAAGAAATGTAAGAAAAAAAAACCGACTGCTGATGTTAACAATTTTGAGGATATTTATCTAAAATATATATATATGTATAACGTGAGTTGAAACTCTAATTCGCCTGACAACAAATATTATTACATAGATGAAATTCTAAATATAGCTACCAACCAGTTTTAAGTGATGTAAACTGCCCATTTTTTAAACTTGTTGCCAGGAATATCCAGGATATCATATAAATCTATGACAACTCAATATATTGAACGTCCTCGTTTTGTTGTCCTTTTGGTTTAAAAATTTGCATGCCTAGTGTAGAAGAAATATTTCGAGTCATATTAACATGCATTAGTTGTAAAAGAAATTGTTCGAGTCTTGCTCTTGTGTAAATCTTTGATTAGTCATTTCGTTGTAGCGTGGGGAAAAAAACCTTCCAACTAATTGTCAAATAGGAATGTTCCTAAGTGATAATTTTGATCGGCTTCGTGTTCATCTTTTCGTCCTCTTCTACCCCACAGCAATTCTATGCCCTCAAACGGTCTCAATTCCACCCATTTTGCTCATTATTCAACTAGTTTTGCTAATATCATTGGAAAGGTCCCAACAGTTTGACCTCCATTGTAATTGTGTTCGGGGTACCGTCACTTATTACGTTTTTTTGTGACACTGCTGGTGTAGTAAGACACCAGGAGAGAACGCGAGAATAAGGATATACAACAGGATATTTTTACAAGGGTGACATTTAATAACAGCTGTAAAATGTAATTCGTTAGTGTTATTTCTCATTTAAATGAAGCAATCCTATAAAGGTTTCAATTTCAAAAGCCTTAATTTGCGCATGAAAACTAAATCCTTTAGAATTCTAATAGTTTAAAGTCAAGCGTTACCGTGGTATAAATGCAGGCCAAGATCGCGCTATAACTTGGAAACTATTTTAGCAGTAATGATAGTCAAATTTATATGAAGTTATACTTAGAAGAAAACAAGTGGTACATATAATCAGGCATATTTGACTATTCAAAAATCTGCAGTAGTAANGGTGACATTTAATAACAGCTGTAAAATGTAATTCGTTAGTGTTATTTCTCATTTAAATGAAGCAATCCTATAAAGGTTTCAATTTCAAAAGCCTTAATTTGCGCATGAAAACTAAATCCTTTAGAATTCTAATAGTTTAAAGTCAAGCGTTACCGTGGTATAAATGCAGGCCAAGATCGCGCTATAACTTGGAAACTATTTTAGCAGTAATGATAGTCAAATTTATATGAAGTTATACTTAGAAGAAAACAAGTGGTACATATAATCAGGCATATTTGACTATTCAAAAATCTGCAGTAGTAACAGTACTGAAACAGTAAATGGTGAAATATTGCTTCTATTGAATACTGAAAATCGTTCAAAAAGGTAGCATTCAAAACAACATGTCCGGTCCTTTTGTGTTCTTACTGTTCGTAAAATAGCAATATCCTATGCCCCAAGTACAACTGCTTGTCAGTTTTGGTCTTCGAAAAGACTGAAGTCTAGTAGCTCGCAATAGTTCTGGGGCTGACGTTCCACGGCCTCGATGTTCTCTTCGACGATCATCTCATCACGCGGTACTGATGCGTTCTCAACTTTCCTACAGGGAGTCTTCAGGGTATCTTCGATAGGTATTCCCAGTTTCTCTGGCTCTTGTTGTGAAGTTTCCAGCCACTCGGGGAAATAGTCTTGTTTGATGACTTTCGTTACCGCAATCTCTTCATTGCATTCATCGCAATCTTCTTTCTTTTCCATTTTCGCGGCTATATTCTCAATGCTGTCGTCCACCGTGCTTGGATTCTGACGTCGCTTTTTTAACTAGAAGACCTTTTATTCACTTCATGTGCTAATTTACCATTGTAGATCACGTGGTCTTCTCTGGAGATTTGGGTGTTGATTACGTGAGTCCTGCTGACTCATTTTGCGGAGGAGGCGTTAGAGCGGTTTTCATTTGAGTGTCGAAAAGTAATTGGTTTTGCACTTTCTACACGATGCGATTGGCTTAAAAGATTCGCGCCACCTTTTCATCCAATCAGAAGTAAAACCAAAGCCAATTGTGACGCGCTCGCATGCATTTTCCCGCGCTTTGCGTCAGCCACATGTAATTACTTCGAGTTTTGATTGGTTCAATGTATTGTCTGTGTCCTATGTGATTGGCCAGAGTAATTACTTTGGTTTTGGTTTTACGACACTCAAACGAAAACCACTCTAATGTTCATCTTGATATCAAGCCATCACGTTATTTGGATTCCAACTAACCGGGCAGGGTTGTCTTGTAATCACAAAGTGGAGTCTTGCTGCGTTTAATTAACGTGCTACTATCTTGGCAAAGCGAGCCAACCCGGTTTATGTAATTAGCTCCTTGACCTCTCTCAACGATGGAAGTAAAAGGTGGATTCGCATTTAAATTTGACCAATTTCAAAAGGCCTCTAAAATGGGCAAGGATAGCCCGAAGCCAGTAAGATGTATTGTGTGCGCATGTGTGTATTTTTTGGTGCCTTCTAAAATGATGATCAATATTAATGATATCAAACAAAAGTGAAACAAACAGTCTCAACGCGATATTAAGATTGTTTGTTTGCCTTTTTTGTGTTTTCACCATATACTGAAAATTGTTACAATAACCATCTGAGATCAGGCCGAATTTTAGTCGCTCTCATACATTCTTTCTTAGGTGGGCGCGCTTTTAAGACATGGACAAGAATTGGGAGAGTGGTAGTGGAGGGGCGCGCCCCCCCCCCTGTCTACTCAGTCGCTTTAAGCGTGTATCTATGAACCGAAAGTAAAGTCGGTAAAGTGGTAGAAGAAAGGAGGGGTGGGGATGGTGGGGTATTTTTGTCCCGCAACTCTCTGCCGGGGTCCACCCCTGGTAGCATACGAATCTATTCCCGCAACACGACGTGTAAACCTTTCATCTTAATATTTGAGACTTCTGCGAAGTTGTTCCACAGAAGTATTCTTCTCCCCAAGGTGTATGTTAGTATAATTTAGAAGTGATTCTCTACGCGTAGCGCGATCAATATACATCGATGTGATAAATGTACAGTCGGTGTGGTGTCGAAGATTTTACCAATATTATTGTGAAAATGTAAATGAAAGTGCTGTCTCTTTTGAAGGCAGAATTCTTGATAGAAAACTAACTTACAATAACAATAGCACGGGCAACCACAAACTTTATTGATTAAAATAATGTTAGATTTACAAGTTGCTAGTTAGTGTTTACATTAACTCAAGAATTTGCTTTAAACCTTAGCTTCAAGGTGCTCGCTGGCTCCAAAATCATATTTAAGCCTCGGATTATTTGGCCTCTGGATTGGTAAATATTGGCGACTAGCCATTCACCCCTAGGCAACTAATTTGAAATAGTCGCAGCAACTTTGTTATGACACGAAGGGGGCGAGTGTATGTTATGTCTTGCCTCTACCTTATGGTGCGTCTACCTCGAAAAAAAAGCGAAGGAAACGTTCGGGACAGCTTAGTGTCTCAAGTTCTTTATTCTTACATTCCCCACTTATTAATGATCAAATGGCAAATATTACTCTATAACTGTACCTTATAAGTCTTTAATCAAAATGATCGGGTACGTGTATCTCACGGACCACAGGCGGACGTTCCTTAGCCTCGATCTCCTCCTCTTCAACAAGCACTTCATCCTTTGGGACTGGTTCGTCTGTCTCCAATTGCTTTGTTGGAGTCTCAAGAATATCTTCAATAGCGACTCCTGTTTTCTCTTGTTCTGGTTGTACAATTTCCAACCAATCGGGGAAATACTCTTGTCGCATACCAATCGTTGCCACGATCTCTTCTTCGCATTCATCAAGGTCTCCTTTCTTCATTTCTCTCTCATCTTGTTCAGGCGATTCTGAGCGCTTTTCTTTTTTCTCGTCTATTCTATCAGCCTCCTTCTCAACGCTGATATCGGAATGGTTGGCATGTTCGGATCCCGACCCTGTACTATCTTGGTTCATCTTGGCAGTTTATTCCTTTCTTGAAACCCTTTATAACCAAACTATGTCAAAAATTCAGACTCCAGTAAACAATATCAGCACCAATGAAACGCGCAATAACTGCGGAATGCAGAAGCTTCCGCAACGTCGCGGAAGAAGTACCGTTTTTTTTTTCAATGTTAGCTGTCTCGCGCTTTTTAGTAACCGTCAATGCGCTTTGTACACTGCTCTGATGTTGAGAGCTCATGCAAGCCCACGCGACACGACCGTCAAGTTATGTGATTAGCTGTACATCCCTTAAAATGTCGTCTTTTATTTATGATCTCTTGATTTTGGTCGTTTTAGACAGAATAATCTTGCTTCATGGTTTAGTTTCGGTATTTCTTAATGACATTTTCTATACTGCTTCGCTGTCTCATTGCTTAGACTTTTTCGACAATGTTAACTGAAACAGTTGTATAATAAACTTAGAATTTAAACTTGTTTAGATAGTCGGTTAGCAGGGCTTCCTAACGAAGATTATTATCACCAGCAATAATGTTTGAAAACCATTCCAAATTCTAAAGTCCATGGTTTTTATTTGCAAGGAAGTAATTAAGCCAAACCCACGCTTATTCTGCCACGGAAAAACTATTCCAACGGCTAACACCACGATTTAGTGAACAAGCCAAGATTATCTAAAGCTACGGCAACAAAAACGTACCACAACAGAACGAGTTGAATGGCGGTGTTGCTCGTTTAACCACCCAAGATTCAAACCTGTCTCGCAACAAATCAGGTTGTTGCAAGTTGCGTGAATACTGACTTCTGATTGGATAAAATTTCTCATACACGGGAGTTACGTCACTCGCTGCAAAACAAGTTCGCTTTGTGCCGGTAAAACGCGAAACACGTATAGATTTGGTTGCAAAAAGTAGAAGTATTCTCTACTTTCTGCAACAAAAGTTTTTATAACCTGCAACAACCTGAATTATGGCTAGTCAGGCTTGAACGTGGCTAAAAAAAAACGCGTAACATAGCCTTCAACTCTATTTGCACAATGCTGCAAAACAAGTTGCATGTTTCCTTCGCCCGTTTTACCGTACCTTTCCAGAACTCTTTTTTCTAGCTTTTTCCAGACGTTCAGAGTGCGAAGTCAGCCTCATACCTACAGGTGAAAATTACAAACCTTTTGTGGGCAGCACTATAAACAAATAATAGCATGATTTGTACGCGATATTTGGCATAAATACCACTTGTGATATTTCAAAATTGTCTCAACTTTCACTCGTCTAACGGCTCGTGAAACCACGTTTAACAATTTCGAAATACATCACTCGTGGTATTTATGCCAAATATCACTACAAATCTTGCTATTACCTATACATATCTCTTTCCTTCGTACCCAGTATCTGAACGCCTGGAACAGACTTCCTCAGTTATTGCCTTCCTAACTTTGGGTGGATGCTAATAGTACCTTCTTTAACAAAACTATTTCGCAAGTTAAGGTCTCGTTCTTCAACGGAATTAACCGGACAAATCACTCCACCATTCAAGAACATAAGAGCCCTGCAGGGGCCCGTTTCTCGAAAGTCCCGATAACTTTTCGGGCCCGAGAACCTGTCTTATGTTTGCCGTGTTTGCATTTCAATAATCAATAATTTTGAAAATAATTACAATGAAATTATCAGTGAACGAAGGAAAATTGACCGGTTTGTGAGCTAGGAACTTTGCTACTGTTCAGCTGGTCTTGATTTCAAAATTTGCCTTCAGACCCGAAAAGTTATCGGTCTTTTGGAGAAAAGGGCCCCAGTACTCCATGTTCCTCCCTCCTCCATACCTATTCCCCAGCCGGCTTTCACCGTTTCAGTCGTTTTTAAGTTTCCTAGTCCCTGTACGGCGTTTTCCCAGTCCCTATAGGTCAATTCATTTCGGTGAGGTATCCGAGGCGAACGGGTGGGAAACGCCCTCACATTTTCGCTTGGACCACGTGACCCGAAACGCTTTGGCCGCGCGGAATAATGCATCCTCGGAGACCCAGGGGCAGATAGTGGGGACGAGAGAAAGTCTAAACGGGCGGAAAAATGTGGCGCGAAGAAAAGTAAAGAACGGCGAGAAGAGCCCCTGGGGACAATGTCTTACCAGACAAGTTCCAAACGGTCGCCGCCGCTTTGGCTTCTGATTGGTGCCAGAAAAACACAAGTTTTCTGGCACCAATCAGAAGCCAGAACGGCGGCGACCGTTTGGAACTGGTCTGGTAAGACATTGTCCCTAGGGGCTCTTCTCGCCGTTCTTTACTTTTCTTCGTTCCATATATATTTTTCCGCCCGTTTAGACTTTCCCTCGCCCCCTTTATCTGCCCCTGGGTCTCCGAGGATGGGAAAAATGAGGCCTAGGGACTACCCTTTTCTTCCAATTCTTTTGTTAAATATCAACCTATTAGGGTATCAGGGGACTGTGAAGTCGTCCCTGTCTCTCGTTAAGTTTTTGTAGCCCCATTTTACAAAGGGGTTCAGAAAGCGTAAAAAAATTAAATCAGGCCTTATCCACAGCCACTGCATTTTAAATTAGAATTTCGGAGGGCTTTATTAGCCATTGCGAAGTTTAAACAGGGTAGCAGTGCGATTTTAAAAACTTAAAAATCTGAACAGGTTTCCTTTTTTTTTTTCAACTTTTGCCGAAGGGCACACAAAATAATCATCGCGGTGTCTAGCTCTTCTTTGCGTCGATGACGTCAACAAGTCCAACACGTACGGCAAAATGTTTATTGGTGTGCAGTTGCGCACCGTCTTGAAACTGTTCCGTAAGAAGGGTAGACGCCAAAAAAAAATTCCAGTAATTTTAACTCGCCCCTTTATTATAAAGCATTCTTTTAAGTGATTTCACTAAAGACAAACCATTGTTATCAAAGTTAAATACTTGAGCAGGTTTTCTGTTTCTCCCAGAACGTTATTCCTAACCTTAAAATATTTTTAATACCCCAATCAGGTCTCCTTAATGCCGATTTAGACGGCACGATTTTTGCTTACGACTATCGCGCGCGATTAGCATACGTCATGACTTTCGCGACAGATCGTGTCGTGTAAATTAGACACACTACATTCGTTTGACAAATGTGGATGTCGTAAGTGAAGTTGTGCGCGTGTGGATAGTCGAAAGTCATAACGTATGTTAGTCGCGCGTGATATTCGTAAACAAAAATCGTGCCGTCCAAATCGGCAAAAAGAAAGAGAGCAAGGAGAGAGTGATTCTGCTGCGATATGAAGGCAACTGAATATTGACACTCTTCTGATAGAAAAACAACTATGAACACAATCTAACAGTGGTTAAAAAAGATAGAGTACGAAATAGCGTTAACGTATATTCTCAAACTTAGGCCATTACTGAGTTGCCTTAAGCCTCTGTTTCAAAGCGAGGCTAAGTGCGAAGCCATTGATATGAAAATGATGTTTTATTGTCCTCCAAAAAAAGCTCATCAGTTTTCAGATCAACAAAGGTTTTGCACTTAGCCTCGTTTTGAAAAAGAGAGTTTTTGGAACTCGGAAATGGCCTGTCGAAATAGCCATGGAAGGCGTGACAGCACATTTGAATATAAGAAAAATTGATCGTCCGCGGTTCAGTATTAGAGGATACGTCGTGTACTTAATGGAATACCTTTAGTATAATTTCATGCCGTTGTAAGGGTTGTTATTCCCACCAGAATAATATTTGTTTAAGAGTATCGTTTAAAAATTATCGAATAATATGGGTGCTTGTATGGGTACTTCATAGCATTTTCTTTCTTTTTCACATTATTTTTGCTGTTTTGGAAGCGTGCGCGCAAAATATTTAGTCATTGTATCAGTCAGCTTAGTCCTTGGTGTTCTCGGCTCGGTCACGCCTGGACTCCACCTTGTGCTGTGACGTCATCGAAAAAGAAGCGCCTAGTTCCCTCATTTCCCAGACTTCGTTCAGACAACGGCGCAAGGGAGAACGCCTAGGGACTAAGTTTTGTATGTGTAGTTACTCAATGCCTCTGGGGTAGCTATTCTTTACGATCTATTGAAGTCCAAAGGAACTAAAATCTGGTGCTTCGGAGAAAACCTGTGGTTGGCGTTCCACCGCTTCGATTTTCTCCTCGAAGAACGATTCATCTACAGGAGCCGATTCCTGCTGCACTTGTAGTGTGGGAATCTCCAGAAGGTCTTCGATAGGGACCCCCACTTTTTCTGGCTCAGGTTTTGGAGTTTCCAGCGCCTTCGGGAAACGCGCTTTTCTTGTGACCTCCATAACAACAATCTCTTCTTCAAACTCATCGTATTCTTCTTCCTCTTCCTCTTCCTCTTCCTCTTCCTCTTCCTCTTCCTCGTCTTCGTCGTCATCATCAGCTTCTTTGTCAGCCAGAGGCGGTGTTGATTGGACTTCTGTTTTCTCTGATCCTTTGATTTCGTCTTTTTTCTTCTCGTTTTCTCTGACGATATTCTCAAGGCTAAGAATTGAAATATCCGGCTTGTCCCGTGTTGCCACTTCCGGGCGGATCTTGCTCTCGTTGGCTTTCTCGTCCGGTTCTTTCATTTGTGATTTATGACCACCGGGATATTTCAATTGAACACTTATGTCCGATAGTTCTGGATTTTTACGTTTTTCCTCGGGCGACTTACTTTCTTCCATCCACTCGGGCACATCAAATTTGGATTTATCTTTCCTGACAACCCAAATCGGCTGTTCGCCGTCACCTCTGGAAGACGTCGTAGAGTGTTCGACAACACTTCGGTTCTCGGGTCCCCCAATCGTCTTGGTCACTACAGTCCTCTTGTATACTGAACTATAGCTATTGCCTTCGGTCTTACCTCCTGGAGACCCTGTTGTGATGGTGGTAGTGTAACCTTTATTCTCAACCGTCTTGACGTCGTGTTTGGGAAATGCCTCTCCTTTGACTTCAAAGTTAATCAAGCGCTCCTCTCTTGCTTTGGGTGTAGTATCAAAATCTAAAAATACATCTCTTTCTTGGAGTTTTCTAGGCTGAAACACGCTGTTTTTGTCTTGGTCATTACCTCCTACAG